ACCCGCCGCTCTCGGTTTGCTTGAAACGGCGCCGCAGAGATTGTGCACAAACCGAGCTGACATCCGGCAAAGCCGGAGCCTCCGCCGGGCCCGGAATTCAGCTGCCGGGAGGGGACACGGATTTAGTCCCACAAGGCAGGCGGCGCAAGGGGGTCGCAAGGAAGCACAAACCGAGCTGACATCCGGCAAAGCCGGAGCCTCCGCCGGGCCCGGAATTCAGCTGCCGGGAGGGGACACGGATTTAGTCCCACAAGGCAGGCGGCGCAAGGGGATCGCAAGGATTACAGAGGTGCAAGCCTTAGAAACGAGGCTGCGATTAACTTGTCTCCGTTTATAGACGCACGCTTTGTCAGAAGTCCTCTCCTCGCTTAGGGCTCTCCTCTCCTTCAAACACGAGTGGGTTTTGGAAGCGCACTGAGCAAACTCGACTACCAAAAGGATCAGGAAACAGTCACTGTTGTGGTTTTTTTTGGGATAAACCTGAAATGTTTCTAATTCTCCCCTAAAGGAGAGACATCCCTCCATCTTTTTACGCTTCTGTTAAAGCCTAAAGACGCTTGTTCCCATGGAACAGGTTTCCCTCTGGAGGGCATCCTTCTGGAAAGCATTTAAAACTTTTCCTGGAGCAGGAGAATTTTCTGCTCTCACTGCACACAGGTCCCTCCGGGTCCTCCTCCTCCCCCGGGCAAAGGGATCAGCGCCAGCAACGCCCGTGGAGAGCTTGGAAACTCCCTTCTCCCCACAGAAGGCAAAAGCAGTAACACATCACCCCAAACCACCTACTTGCAGGGATCAGCTGAGCACCAAGGAACGTAGCACAGCCCAGGTGAGGCCTTGGAGGCCGCCCCAGTCATAGCAGGGCTCCTACTTAGTTCAGGAAGGAAGAGTTTTATCTGGGCTGTTTCCAGCTATTTAGGTGTTTTGGCCTCAGCTGCATCCAGAAAACACTAATACAATCAGCTAATGGAGGAAGGCACCAAAAGAAGGACTGAAACTGCACATGGCAGACCTTCCTCCTGAGATTGCAACAAACCCATCCCTGTTTTCAGTGAGGAGCGTAGGTTTTGAGGAGAAAACAGCCACCTTTCCCTCTCTGGCAATCTGAGTGGAGTCAGTCTTTGCAGGGCAGGCCAGAGTGGGTTTACTTGTCAAGGAAGAGGAGCTTGTTAGCACAGCTGTTGAGCAGTTCACCAGGGTGAGTACAAACACAAAGCCTCCTTCTCAGAACTTAAATAGGTAACTTAGTTATCACTGTGCTCCCAAAGAGCTCTGAGGGGCTGCGTTTTAAGCAAGTCCGTGAGGTGCCTTGGAAATCTAGCAGGAGAAGACAATACCAGCAGAGCCGTCAAGCTCGCAGTGAGGAGCACCAGGTGACTAGGGCAGAGCAGCTGAGAGGGCTTATGCATGATTCAAGGGTCAAAACACAAACCCTGGAGTTCCTGAAGCACGGCAGTCTATCCCATTAGCTGCCTCAGCCTAGAGCCTCCTCTTAAACCTCTTCCCACTGTATACGCTGCCTGCAGTTTAACCTCTGTAAGTAAATGAAGTATCTAGTGCTTCAGGCAATCTTCCACCCAATTCTTACTCTCTCTCCGGAAGATCCATCAGCTATATGTGATTTTGTTAGAACAAACTCTGACAATGCTCTGCTCAGACTCCTCAGCTGGGGGAGTAACAGTTTTCCTGCAAAAGGAATATGTAACAGCAATTTTCCAAGATCTACTGTCACCTTTGCTGTACATCCTTATTTCAAGTGCAGCTTGTATCATATAACTGGCTGTTTTCTTAATCAGTTTCCTGGAGGCAGTCACTCGAATACATGCTGTGAACATACTATTTTCTACACTTCTATTTTTACAGAACGCTTTTTCAAATCTGTTAATCTCAGCGTGATCCTCTGCGCACCGGAACAATGGGAGGTCACGGTTGTGCGCCTGAGCTGCAGCAAGTGAAGTCCACGCGCCGGGTGGCAGAGCTGGGAGCGCAGGTCCACCCTCAGCACCGCACCCAGCCCTTGGGACCACGAGAAGCAGCTGCTGTGCCCCAGGGGCAGGACGTAGGTACCAGCCTTCCAGCTTTGTGAGTCTGGAGGGTTGGGCCCCAGCAGTTACACATTGCATCGAGTAAGGGGCTGATACCACCGGGTGTCAGTGCGGGGCACCTGCGTTCCAGGATGAACAGGGACAAAAACGAGCCAGTGGAATGAAGAGATCAGACTGCGTCTTGTAAAGAGAAAGAGCTTCCTTTTAACTTAAATACCCATGAAAACGAGAGACCAGAAAGATGTTTTCTAATGCTGAGGCTCAAACCTCTCTTTTAACTAGAAGCAGGAAGTGTAGAAAACCTAACTGCTTTGAAATCGCTCAGCCTTCATTTTATCAATGAATGGCTGCCTAAAATGAAAAAGCGGGCTGGATAACCCTCAAGGAAAACATGCTTTGTAGCACACTTTGCAAGCCACAAATTTGCACACGAACTGCTTTACGTGGTGCCGCGGGAGGCGGTGCAGGCAGCTCAGCCCCTTGTCCCTTCTGAAGCCCCACCACGGCCCAGGTGCATCGGCTGTGGGGCTGCCAGTGCTGAGCAACAAGTAGTGGCCTGATGCAGTGCCTCCCACAGGCTCTTTTCTAGATCCAGTTCTAATTCAACAAATATTATTGTTCAAACTCAGGCCTAAAGTGCATAATATATATGTATATACACCAAGGGACTCATGTCCCCAAATCTCTTGCATCTCCCTAGAGAGCCCACACCTAAGTACCTCTGGGGATCTGGTCTAACTTATACTGCCAGCAAAATTAATGTTTTGTTCCTGCTTTTTAAAGTGCTGTAGCTTCATTTAACAGCCTAGGACTGAAAACCACAGTAGTGTTGACAAATCTTGAAGAGAACCAGAAGCAAGTGAAGATGTCACGTACTCAAAA